ACGGGGCAGTGCGTGTGCCTCATGTACCAGGATAACCCCACGTTGTACGCCAACATTGGCGCCTCGGCCCAGTTCGAGGTGCAGACACTGAGCCACGCCGTCAGTCACGAGGGCCAGGGCTTCCTGCGACCCGTGGAGCGCAAGCAAATCCTGTACGTGGAGGGCTTCTTCGTGCCCCAGAGGAGTGAAGTGTGCGACTACATAGTGCAGCACCTGGTGAGGGAGCGGCGACGACTGGCCCTCAATCTCAGTGCCCCATATATCGTGAAGAGAAATCACCAGGCCATGATGAAGATGGCCCGGGCCGCCTTCTTCCTGTTCGGAAACCGCCAGGAGTTCGAGGCGCTGGCCGAGGCTGCGGGAGGGTTCCGGAACGTCGACGAACTGGCGGATCATCTCCTGCATTCTGGTGGCACCAAGGTCATCTTCGTCACCAACGGCAGTGCCGGCGTTCAGGTAATCACCAACTACGTGGAGGAGCTGGCTCCTCCCGGACCCGTCAGCTTCGAGGACTACAGGGCGCAGCGCGTAGACCAGCTGGTGGATGCCACAGGTGCCGGAGATGCCTTCGTGGCCGGATTCCTGCACGCCTGGCTGGAGAAGCGTTCGCTAGGCGAGTGCATTCGAATGGCCTCCAGCGTGGCCGCCAAGGTCGTCACCCAGGTGGGCTGCAATCTGCCCTAGACCGACGCCAAGCATCGCCTTCTTAGATAGCGCACAACAAAGCACCAAAGTAGACTCTTAGCTTGTAATTATTTCGGTAATCTCCCCAAACCTTAGGCTTAGTCAGACATTTATCTACCGTTTCACACGAGCAAAGAAACTTAGTCGTAATGTGACTAAATAAAAATTACTTATACATCGTCCTATGAAAGATAACCGAATTTATTTCCTTATAATACTAAGTAAGTATATGCGTTTTTCAGAAGGTCATGCTGGACTTCAATAATATATTTAGAGGGATAGGGATTTTATATTGTTCCGTACACAATTTCTCGCTGTTGTTGCAATTATATACATCTATCACCTATTTGAAAGCCAAAGCGGATTTATCTAAAACTTGAACAAATGTATATTTTTGTAGCACATTGCCATTGAACATTAGCGTTGACCTTCGGAAGAGCGCAGAGATAAAAAGTGGAATAGTGAAAAATGTGCCCACGTCTAATCAAGCCATGCTATGAAATCACCGGAACTCTTTTAATGGTTAAATATAGAATCGAGAGCACTGTCTGGTGCACAGTGGGCTGAACGACTACCAATTATTAGCCGCTGTAATATTTTCGTAGCTATACTTTTTCCCCGGAGTGCTTGTGTTCTAATCATTGTGTGATAGAGTTCATTAGTTAAAAAGCAAACATTAATAAATCATTTTTGACACATGCCGTTCGTAAAATCAGAGAAATGAGGGCTTACGAGTATATATGTACAGCTGGCGATTGTTCGATCTCGGTGGCCTTATTAATATGACTGTGTTATTTACTCGATCGCCGCAGTTTCCACTGGCCTGTGCCGTTGTGTGAATCGTCATCCGAATCCGTTATCACCCACTTAATTCCCCCTGAGATCCCCAAGTACACATCTGTATGCACATTCCTCGAGATGCTTTATTATCCGAAAGAAACGACTATCGTTTCCTCTGTCGGCTTACTCATACCTCTTATGTGAACCGCGTACATCCCACACAAGTCAGTCAATAAGTGACGACTTGGGCCAAGGAGAACTCGCATGCCCAGATGCCATCAAAGCGAATTCCGCCTTTGTGCTGGCCGAAGGGGTGGCTTGGGGTTTGGGCCACATGTTTGCGAATCGTTAACAAAAACTAAGCCGCATTTGGCATGCTTGTGTAAGCAGGCCAAGGCCTGGGCCTGAACCAGCTGCTGCCGGGCGAGGAGACGTGGAAGAGGAGCCCTCGAGCAGTAAAGCAGTCCGGGCTTAGGCCGAAAGCAATTCCGCACTTTAAAGGCCAATTCCCGGATCAGCGTAGTGAGCTGGCTAATTGCAAGGAGACGTTCAATGGCACTGGGAATGGGGATGGGGATGTGGCAAAGTCAATATTGACACACCCACCCAATCGAGTGTATCGGTGCTTAGGACTCCCACTCCCAGCAGTCGCCCCTGTTAATTACTCGATATTAATTTTATACCGCCAGTGGGGCATCCGAAGAACCCTTCCACACCACTTCGATCGCCTCCTATGCGGTGGCCACTGGGCTTGCCAACGCCAGTCCTTTGTCGGGTTCGTAATTAATGTCATCGTGTGGTTTACGGGGTTAGCAGCCACTTTGGCTCCCTCCCTTGATGTCTGCGTGTGGGTAATGGCCGATTTCGGACTATCCCAAGGCTCGACTGAGATCCTCACCAGCATGTGATAATTAAATGTCCTCATTTGCCCTGTTTAGCATTTTAATTTACAATAAATTGCGCTTCGGAAGCGGCTGCTTTGTAGGGTATCACCGAAGCAGTACACTAAGCGAGGAGTTGAGGAAAATTAGGAAATTTACAAAACTAATTACATGCTCCTGGGTGTTGGATGGTACTATGACATCGGGATCGAAGCAACTACCTGCACTCATAATAGCGTGTGTTTTTATCATTTAATGTAAGTAAGTGAAGAAGGGAGTTTTCTTGCAGTGCAGGCAGTGCTCAAAAGGCTTTTGCCAGCCATTTGATTTATGTGCAACGCTGCGTATGAGCAACCGAATGGGGCAGCTGTAACTGACATTGCATATTTGCCCTCCCACTGCCGTAGATGCTCCGTGGAACATGTTTGCACAAAATATTGCGCATACGCCGCCAGTGGCCAACCTTCTTTGCCGCTCCGCTTTGTCCTTTTGCCTTTTGCGGCATAACGCGCGGTTAAGTGGCCATAATGTGTGCCTTTATGGGCTTGGCATTGGCATTGGAACCGGACTCCTTTTTGGCTTGGTGGCTTGGTGGCTTTGCGGCCCTTGCCCCATTTTAATTCCTCTGCCATATTTGCTGAGCCAGCATGGTTGCTGAATTATGTTATGCCAGTCGGTCGCTTGTTGATTTTTATATTGTTTTTTTGTGTCTGAACTGGACTGGTTCCTGTTCAGATCCTGTTCCTGCTTCCTGGACTTTCTGTTGTCCTCGTTCGCATGATAAGCGAGCGGCCAAAATATTTGGCTCCGGCGTGTTTGCTCAGTTGTTTGCGGATAATCCGGTTTTATTGTTTAATAAGTCATGCCGGTCATCGCTCCAGCCTGGCCAGCATGTCCAACCCCTCCCGATTTTCCCAGAGTGTCTGGCCGAAAACGTTAGCGGCTCGTTGGCTTTTTGACGGCCTGTGCGGCGGAGCGTGGAGGCCCCTTTTTGGACGGGGATTTCACCATGGGCTCGGAAGAGCGTGGCGAAATCGATGGTCAAATTAAATGGGGATTTACATATTTGCTCAGCGACAGCTTCAGTTTAAAGGGAACGCTCGGATGACTCTTTGTTTGGTGGGAAAAATATTATTTGTCGCTGAGAACTTCCTCCAACTCCTTTAAAGAATTTCTATGACGCCACCTAAATTATGTACGTTACACCAAGGATACAACCATGCTTACTCAAATCTATTCCATTCTAGATTTCATTACTCTTAGTAATGAACTTGCTACAAGCAAGTCGAAAAGCACTTTTATAAAATTTATATAACCTTACAAGTAATTCAAGCATAGCAATATTCAAAGAGTCACTTTTTCCCTGTGTGCTCACAGCACAAGATTGTTGTGAAGAAGACTAACTTGCAACAGGTGCATTCAATATCCTTAAGATGCCACCGAAGTACTGACTGCATTCCCTGGTAGGCGATGGTCTTTTGTTGTAAACATTCTAATTTTAGAATGAAGTGTAATTTTTACATAAACACTTTTTTTGCTTTCAGACTGATGTGTATAAAATTTATTTATATATATATACATTTTACTTAACTACTCAGTATTCCTTTTCCAGATGTTCTAAATCTATTTATTCTAAATGATGTTTGTATTGCTTTAAAACTTTAATATAGGGTACAAAGTACTATCTACAGAGATACTATCCATCAAGTCATTAAATATCAAACCTTTTTTAGTGCCTTTCTATACCCGTTGCTCGTAGAGTAAAAGGGTATACTAGATTCGTTGAAAAGTATGTAACAGACAGAAGGAAGCGTCTCCGACCATATAAAGTATATATATTCTTGATCAGGATCAATAGCCGGGTCGATCTGGCCATGTCCGTATGAACGTCCGTCTGTCCGTATGAACGCCTCGATCTCAGGAACTGCAAAAGCTAGAATGGTGAGATTAAGCATGCAGCTTCCAGAGTTTATTTTAAAATATTGCCACTAACTGCCACAGCCACACTTTTAAAATATGTTATATTTTTTTTTCCTTTATTTTAAGTTTTTCCCCAATTTCTACCGATATTCCATAAAGTTCTGAAATTTCTCGTTTGCTCTTCCACTAGCTGAGTAAGGGGTATCTGATAGTCGGGGAACTCGGCTATAGCATTCTATCTTGTTTTAAATTATGAAAGATGACTGACAGTTAAGCACATGTACTGTGGGAATCCAGCTCTGGTGACATAATATATAAAATTCCATCAAGAACGATTTAATTTGCCTTCGAATATTAGATAACCCGATTGAAGACATTATTGAAATTTCAAATGCAAAGCTCTTCGGCTGAATTTCCATCAGCCCAGCTTTGCGCCCTATGGGATTGGCAATCGCACTTCAATTACATTACACTCATCATTAGCCAATTAGCTAAATTATAGGCTGCGCGACGACAAATGCCAAATGGCCTCAGTTCCCAATCCCAATCCCAGTCCCAATGCCCATTTCCCACTTCCCACTTCCCATTTCCCGCTCCCCATTCCACTTCCCACTTTCAATTCGATTCGCACTCCCATTTCCGTTCGGAGTGTGAAATGGCAGCCCGCAGATTGCCCTCCTCGATGGCGACAATTGGCGCAGAATAAAAGACATTTGCTCAGCACTTTGCGGCACAGTCTGGAGTGGATCTGCCGGGAAGCAGCTTATAGAAAGTGCGAGCAATAGGAGCAATGGCAATCGAGGATATTGGCCTGGTGGGCATCAACGTGCGGATGTGGCGGCACTTGGCCGTGCTGTACCCCACTCCGGGCTCCAGCTGGCGCAAGTTCGCCTTCGTGCTGCCGGTGACTGCGATGAATCTGATGCAGTTCGTCTACCTGCTGCGGATGTGGGGCGACCTGCCCGCCTTCATCCTGAACATGTTCTTCTTCTCGGCCATTTTCAACGCCCTGATGCGCACGTGGCTGGTCATAATCAAGCGTGGCCAGTTCGAGGAGTTCCTCGACCAACTGTCCACTCTGTTCCACTCCATTCTCGACTCCACCGACGAGTGGGGGCGTGGCATCCTGCGGCGGGCGGAACAGGAGGCTCGCAATCTGGCCATTCTTAATTTGAGTGCCTCTTTCCTGGACATTGTCGGCGCTCTGGTCTCGCCTCTTTTCAGGGAGGAACGAGGTTAGTGCTTAGGCTGCTAAGTAAATAAGTGAGACCTTGCTATATACACTTTACAATATAAAATACATTGCCGAATTGCGAAGTATCGGAAGGTTATGACGGCATTCCTAAACTTCATAGGTTCGAAAACGCCTTATGACATCTGTTAGCGCATTGCCCTGAAATCCATTTAATTGTAGTTAGTTAGGAATGCCCAAGTCCTGTAGTCAGATAAATGTTTTGGGATGTTTTGCTCTCCTTGCAGCTCATCCCTTCGGCGTTGCGCTGCCAGGAGTGAGCATGACCAGCTCGCCCATATACGAAGTCATCTACTTGGCCCAGCTGCCCACGCCCCTGCTGCTGTCCATGATGTACATGCCCTTCGTCAGCCTCTTCGCCGGCCTGGCCATCTTCGGAAAGGCCATGCTGCAGCTCCTGGTGCACAGGCTGGCCCAGATTGGCGGAGCGGAGCAGCCAGAGGAGGAGCGCCTCCAGAGGCTGGCCTCCTGCGTTGCGTACCACACTCAGGTGATGCGGTGAGCCGCAGGGGAGGGTCAGGGCTCGAGGGGATCTCTAAGCTGCTCGTTTCCATTGCAGCTATGTGTGGCAGCTCAACACACTGGTGGCCAACATTGTGGCTGTGGAAGCCATTATTTTTGGCTCCATAATCTGCTCACTGCTCTTCTGCCTGAATATTGTAGGACACTGGTTGTGAGTTCCGGTGTCACAGAAGGCCCATAACTTGAAGAAACAACAGGACCAAGAGCTTCTCTGACACTGGCACTCCTGGGCCTAATTTTCCGATCTTTCTGTAGATGTTCATGCTTGCAGATAACCTCACCCACCCAGGTGATCTCGATAGTGATGTACATCCTGACCATGCTGTACGTGCTCTTCACCTACTACAACCGCGCCAATGAAATTTGCATCGAGGTGATCCCACCAATTCGATTCAACTCATCACTTTCTTATATCAAATACCTGTGTATCTGTAGAACAACCGGGTAGCGGAGGCCGTTTACAATGTGCCCTGGTATGAAGCCGGAACCCGCTTTCGCAAAACCCTCCTGATCTTCCTGATGCAAACACAACACCCGTTGGAGGTGGGCGGCTGCATTTTGTTTGCGAGTCACTGCGAGACTGTAATCCATTTCCATTTCCATTCCGGGTGGCGGGTGCCGGGTGCGGTGCGCTCCATTTCATCTTGCAGATAAGAGTCGGCAACGTTTACCCCATGACTTTGGCCATGTTCCAGAGTCTGTTGAATGCCTCCTACTCCTACTTCACCATGCTGCGTGGCGTCACCGGCAAATGAGCTGAGCGACCGAAAAAACCAGGGTATCCCTTCTCACTCCTCCAGCAATCCGGTTAATGCAAAAAGTTGTTGCTGGCTGTGGTCCTGGCTGCTTGTTTGGCATTTGCATATGCTCGTCGTTTGAAAGGATTTAATCGGACTGCTGGCACGGAGTCGGCATCCTGGCTCCTGGTGCCTGGTGCCTGGCTTGTGGATGCTGGCATGCAAATAGTTGGCTTCTTAGATTGTTACACAAAATAGATTGTAGATTGCAGCAGAATGTTGTGCTTAGAATAAAGTCAAACGAATGTGGAGCAGGTCCAAAGGTTTAGTCACTCTGTTTGCTCGGGATGCCCAAAAGTATGATTCACAAATATCAAAGCATCTGATTGCGGCGACGGTGGCTTCCAATTTGGGCAAGAAGGATGTGCACTGCGACATGAATTAGTAAATATCTGGTCTTCCAGGCAATTAGTGTTGATATTGATTGAGTGGAATTAGTTCGTGCCTTATGCGCTATGCATTTTTCATTGCTCAATTTGCCTGCATACTTTCGGGATGGCCCATCGAATTTGAATATCTGAATATCTGAGGGCCGCCTTCGGCGCTTTTAATTAAATGCCAAAAACTAGTCGTTGTCTGCTGCAACTTAATTAACATTAGTCATGTCCTTTATTATGCAAATAAAGTGCTGCTACTGCTCCTGCGAGCAGGACCGTTTAATGCCGGCCCGACAGCAATAACAACTTAATTTAAAATTCATTATAACTGACACCAACTAGTTAAACAATTGCCAGCGGCAGCGGCAGCGCAACAGCAGCATAAACATCAACAGCAGCATGGGACAACTAAGCAGGAGTAGAACAAGGACGAAGGACGCAGGACGCAGGCCGCAGGACGAAGGCGCGCCTGGAAAATTGAAATGAGCGGCGGCAGGCGCACTCGAAATACGCAAATAAACTTCAAAGAAGGACGACTGCACGCTGTGTTTTCCGCTGGATGTCCTGCCGAGCGCATAAATAACAATGGAGGACGGCTGGAGGAGGAGCGCCCGGGCTGCTCCTATCGCACGGCTCGAGTGGCGTATACTTAATTTTATTATGAGGTGTCAAGTGCGGACCAGTTGACTTGCCGGCCGAACGCCTTTTGTGTTGTACTTTGTGTTCTGCCCGTTATTTATGTTGCCTGCCGCCCGCCATTTGGTGGCAGGTGAACGCCTACGCGCCCCGCCCGCTGGACAGCAAAATGTGAACTTCCTCTGGGCTTCCACTTTTTCTGCCCACACTGTAAGAAATATATGCACACTCTTCTGTTTCCCCATGTGCAGAACGTTGTAACGGCTTTAATTCATCACTCTTATCATCCAACTCATACGGATAGTTAGTGAATAGTAGCCACTGCCCATTACCACTTTCCTTTCAAATGTACTGGGCCTTTTCTTTCTGTGTACAGCACCTATAGTTCCTTGGCTCCGGCTGCCAGCAGGTCCTTTGATTTTTATTCAGGCAATATGCAAATGCCGCCGGAAATGTAAATGAGCCACTCCGAACGAAGGAGACATCCTGGCGTAACGTGTCCTCCGAGTCCTCATTGTCTGCTGCATAAAATTAACAAGTTTCGCTCTCGCTTTGGCAAAAAACTGTTTCATTAGAGAACAGTTCGCGGTCGCGGTCGCCCGCCACGCCCCCTGCGACGCCCAACGCCCAACGCCCGCCCATCCGAAGGATACGTTGTTTTATAATTGAATTCATATGCATCAATGAAGGCAGCTCAGCAAACACAACACGAGACCCGGCGGGAGAAGTGGGCGGGTGGCAACCGCAACATGGCAAACGGGCGGATTTGGGGGTGGAGCGCTTTTCCGGGTTGGGTGGCCGACTTTTTCGGCGGCATTTGCAATTTTAAATGGATTTTCAATTGCGGTGGCAGCGTTTTGCATAAATTGCTATAATGAGTTTATTTCGCAGCCCTCCAAGTGGCTTCGTTGGCGTCTCTCGATGTCCATGTGTATGCCCATGCGGACACCATGGAACTCCCGTGCTTATTTGCAATTGTCAACCGGCTGTCAGAGGTGACAGTCGTATTGACAGTGTGCTTTCCCTGTTAATTTCCATTTTAATTGTGGCATTCGGTGACAGTTGATGCTGGGACTTTGTTGGCTGTTTTGCGGTCGATTCAGGGAACTGAGTTCGGCATCCCTCCTGGGAGATGGGCGGGGGCCAGCTTTAAGTGCCGGAAGTTGGGCGCCAGTTAAAGTGGATTGGATGTTGTTGGTCTAACCATCACTTATGCGCAGCCAACCCCTTGGCTGTCCCATCAAATATTCCATCCATTGTCTGTCGGGTCATTTGCGAAATCTCTCATAAGCAAAGCATTCATTTTCCAATTATTTATTGATGCCTCTGTGTCGAACTCCCCCACTGCAGCAACTAGCACCACTGCAACAACTGCCACAACTACAACGGCACCTGCTATAAATCTCTAGAGCCCCGTCCCGCGTCCCGCGTCCTTAGTCCTTCCACTCCTCCTCCTGCGAGCCAATGGACAACCACATTGTCTAGCTTCCTGCAGGATGTTTGTCTGGCTGCTGGTGGCCGTCTGCCGTCTGCCGTCAGCCGCCTGGTGCCTGCAAAATATTTGCATTTGCATTTTCACTTTTGATTTATTATTGCCATTGCCATGTGTAAATTGCCAAAGCAAAGGTGCAAACAACAAGGTCTACGGCAAGTATCTTCCAGCTGCAGCTGGAGGAGCAGGAGCCACTGGCGCCACAGACGCCACAGGCGCCACAGGAGCAGCCAGCGATGACAAGGACACATTATGTTTGGCCAAACGAATGGTAATTGCGGCATTGAAACAAGTAATTGAAGTGCAAGCCAAACAGATTGCCAACTTCGGTTGGCCAGGAGCAGCTCCCGCCGCACGTCGACCACATTTCGATTGCACTTCCGAGGCTGGCCCAGAAAGAGGTCATTACTGCTTTGCTAATTACAAGACCAAATTAGAGAGGCTTCCCTGGCGCTCCGTGCGCCTTCCCGATGCCACTGCCAATTACTTCCGGCTCTGTGCCATTTCCGCTTGCGCAGGTTGGAAGTTGGAGTTGCCTAAGCAGCTTTTCTGGAAAACGTCAAAACAGCGACAAGTTTATATGGCCACAAAGGCAACAGTAATGACGGCAATGGTAAAAGGGAAGCGTAAGCAGATAATTACACAGGCGAGCAACTATCTTCCTTTTCCCGCGGCCACAAAGTAGAAAATTACAAAATAAAAAACCACAAGCGGAAAATTAAGAGCCAAAGCCTGCGGTCCAGAATGGCAGACGACGGGGGAAAACTCCATTTGTTTGCGGCCCAACTTGGCCCAAACTTTAAGTTCATCTTCGAGTGGCTGCCGTAGGCCTGGAACTTGATCGGCCCTTTGATTATCACTGCAAATGGGAAATTCCTGTTGCGAAAATTCCTGTTGCCAGCCGACTAACTGGGAAACTGGGAAACTGCGGAGACATTTTCCACATTTTTGACTGTCTGCCAGTGCCCGTAAGCGAAATGCAAACACGGAGCTCCAGCCACCCCAGCCACCCCAGCCACCCCAGCAACCCCATCACCCCCGCCCTTTGTCTGCCCTGCAGCCACATTTAAATATGCCGCCAAGTTCTACCTTCGCTTCGACGCCCCTGGAAAGCGCCGAGTCCCAGACCCTCGTTATCATCATCGCATGGCGGTGGCTGGCACTGATTTCATGCTTTATAACTTTCGATATCCGAATGGCAAACAGCGTTTAGCGCTTTGCCACGCCACCTGAAACTGGCAGAAGTGTTGGTGTGCCGCCTTGGGGGCCATCACGGCGTATGCGCAATGTTTACTTTGCATTTTTCTTGCTTTTTCCCAGCTCAGTGGTTGTTTTTTCAGCGGCTTTGCATTACGCGTCGGATGGGCATGGGTCTCATGGCATATGCATGCTACATCAAATATTTAGGCGATATTTTAGCCATGCCTACAATGAGTCAAATCTGAAGGAATGTCTGGGGCTGCCGACTGGGCCCAATGCGATAATAAAGTTTACAGATAAGCGGCCTAGAAATCGAATTACGCTCCCCAGCCCGGGAGATTTGATTTTATTTGTGTCTCAGATACATATTTCCACTTTAAATTTGGAATTTATGCATCCAGCCATAAGCCGGATTGATTTCGGGAGAATGTGGCTTCAAGAAGCTGGAGAACCTGGCCGAATCGAAGCACGCTAGCATGGACCACATGATATTGTTATTCTTGTCGTAATTAAAAACCCATGAAAGCAAGGACGAAGACCAAACAACTGGCCACAATCACACAGGCAACAGCAGACAGACAGAAGGACCCTGGGGTTTCCATGTGTGTGGCAAAATAAACACGAAACGGAGCGTATTGATGGCAAGGACTCCTGCTCCCTGGCGAGAGTGGGCAAAAAGTTTCATATCAATTTTAAGCCAAAGTAATGAAAAAGTAACAACAACAGTCAAAGGAACACGGAGCACAAGGAGCAAAAAATTAAAACGAATGCTATAGACAAAGCATATTTGCACGCAGCGGGAAGGACGCCTGCATCCTGCCATCCTGCCATCCTGCCATCCAGCCGATGATGAAAATGATGATGATATCGTTGACGACGCAGCGCACAAAGCAACGCTAACGCTTTATGACAGCCCAATGGGCCGCAGGAGCATCGGGAGCCGGGGAATCGGCGGGATCGGAGCAGAGGAGCAACTTCTAAGGACGCTGTTTACACTCGCTGGAAAAGGACAAGCCGCGGACCATGTCTGCAGCGGCGAAATTAAAAACCAATAAAAACGCTGCGGGCAACGAAATTAAAAATTATGTTTTCCCTCCTTCAACAACAAACGGAAACAAACATTCCGCGCGGCAACAGCACCGCCCAAAAGTTGTAAAACACGAATAAAATGCTCGGCTTTAAAGCGCTGCTCATAAAACTTTTGCAATTAGGCAAAACGATGCCTATGCACCACTTCGATAATTGAATATTTCAGAGAGGGATCAGCTGCCGCCAGACCAAACGCGGTATGGAAACCTGGGTGGCTTGTGGGTGAGCTGGCTGGAAAAAAATCGTAGCATACATCTGAGCGCCGAGGGCTTTAATTGCTGCACAGTGTTCTTCAAACTTTACGCCGAGAATTCGGCGCAGTCATTTACTTAATTTACTACCTGCTAGAGTGGACTGGGAGCTCTCTTATCCCCCGGGTCGAACTGCATTGCCATGAATAATTTAAGCAAATCGCTGGTTGTCTGAATGTCCTCGTGTCCATTCCCCAAATCGCTC